AATGCCTTTTTCTTAAGTATTTCTTAAAAATAAAAATTAATCCAATCTTAGTTTTGTGTTTTTCTATATTATTGCATAGAGGGGTTTAAAATCACAAGAAATTAAATAACTTTTCAAAATTCTACTTTTGTTTCTCATTATTCTTACAAATTCTTTCACCTTCACTTTGCTCCAGTCAAGCAGCATTTTTTGAGAATCTGTAAAATTAAAAGCCATAGGAAAGCAATGGGGATGAGAAGTGAAGAAGACAGTGGAGAAATCAGTTTTTCAACAGGGCAACTTTGAAGAATTCAGCCTCAACAAGGGCCTAATAATAAGTAGTTGCTTGACAAGAAAGATATCTGTAGTAAATATCTTGTCTATCGCTAAACAAGCACTACCGCAGAAGAAGATAGAAAACAGACAAATTTAGTGAACAAAACAAAGGGATTGTATCTCGGTCGCGCAATGGCGAAGCAAAGCCAAGACGTGGTTTTTATTACTTCATGCTTAAGCTTTCTGCTGAGCATTGAAAAAGGACAATATCAGGTATTGTTTATCAGAAGATACAAAGAAAACTGTTTAGAAATTTGAAGCTAAATTTTAGAGAGAAACCAACCATTTTGTACAATTCAATAGCTCTATTGACGCCGTCATTTACCGTCAGTATTTCTGGTAAGGTGTTATCGTCGCCATCTGCAGCCATGCAGGCGTAACGGAACAGCAGCGGTCTCAAGTTCAGCAGTGTTGCATAAAGTTCCTTAAGTATTTCTTTTAACAATTATCATACGTTAATCAACAAAATAAACTTTGCTGACATATTTGCTCAGTTAAACTTTTCGCCTTTATTTGAACAAGAAAAGACAGGCCTATTTTTTGTGGAAAATGTGAACAAAACTCTCATTGAGATACAGAATTGAGGAAGAGTTCTACAATTTATTTTAATTTCATAATCCTTTACAGCTTAGTAAGCGAAAAAAGTAGAGATACTTTCAAGTTTTTCAAATAAAATGATAATATCTATGAAAAGTTTAAAGTTTTTCACCCTAATGTACTTCCCACAAATCATTTTCATTTTTGTGTTCACACCTATTTAATAGAATATTTAAGCTAAGGAGTGGAAGAAGTAGAAATTAGAGATAATAAATACAGCAGAAATCAGTTTAAAATTTAAACCTAGAATTGACTGATTAAAACAATTTGTAAAATATAGACTTTTAGCATGGTAACCCAAAAAAAACCTTAGACTACTCAAAATTATTAGTAATTTTAGCTATAGAGAATATTGTGGCGAATCCTTCTTTTCTACATTTAGATGATAAAAATATGTAAGAAGCGCTGTGCAAGTCATTTCGAAAGTAACCTTTGCAGCATCATTTTCGGAGTTACTAGAACAACGAAAATTCAGCGAATTCATCATTTCCATCAGTAAGTAACAACTACTTTTGGCTTTCTCAATGTCCTCTCGCCGTTTACTGGCTTCCTCCAGTTTCTGTTCTTCCTTAAAACCGCACATTAGGCAGTCTCACATAATAGGCGCTAACTCTGAGCTCATTTAATTGTTAATGTACAAATCAAAGTTTCAAAAAAGTTGCCGTTTGAACGAGGCTTCGGATTAGGCGATTTGCTGCTTGAAGATCTTTTGGATTTTTGCTTTTCAACAGTTTCGAAAGTAGTCTTGTTTTCTCCTCATCATTAAAATACGCGTGGCGAGATTGTGATGGTGATTCACTACCGGGTTTCCGGCTCATAAACCTTTCTTCAGGAATAAGTCCGCTGAGCTTAAGTTTTTTGTATGTCTGCAACTTGGTGAAATTACAGAGGTGATAGTGTTTAATCGCTGATCACTGCTATTAGCCCAAATGGCTGTACTAAAAAGTAAATGAGCAGAATCAATTGCATGAGAAATCTATTAAAGAAAGGAATCTGTTCCATGACTGCTGCAATCATAAATACTATTCTAAACATCAATGATGAAATATAAGAAAAAAGTCCTGCAGACCTCTTTGACAGCGGAGATGTGGCTGAAAGAGTTGTGCCATTGGGTTATCATGTTGACAGCATAGTCTCTTATTTCTTCATTGATTCCATCGCCGCTGAACTGAAAAATGGGATATTTAAGTCAGGCGAAATAAAGCCAAATGAATGCCAGGCAAAAATTCCTACCGTTGAAACTTACAATGATTTTGAAAGCGTTGTAGTTAAACATGACATATGGAAACTCTTCCTGGCAAAACAGTATATGAAAATTAGGTAAACCTGCTTTTTCATACCTGAATGTTCAAATTTTGGTATTCTGAAGGTAAGTGCTGTTCTAAAAGAACGCTTTTATAGGATATTTGTTACTTCATGACCGTTCAAATTCTTATCCTTATCACTTCTAATTCTATCGTACAAAAACTATTTGCAGGAAAGTCTCCTCAAAACAATCTTTTTAAGAAAGAAACTTTTGCAACTTTCTTCTCAATACAATTGGATAAGTGAATATTGAAGGTTAAGTTGTCGTGATTTACAGATGCTTGACCTAATGACGCTCAATTAATGCTTGACCTATATATTTACGATCAGTTTTTTATAAACCCTCAATTTAGCTGATTTTAAATTAACTGTTTTTTTGCCACAGAAGTTTGGGAAAGATACGTCAGAGTGGCTTCTAAAAGTTGTTCTAAAAACATTTGACAGTAGAAAAAAAGAAGTTCGCTATAAGTGAAGCCACATTTTAAAACAAAAGTTGACTGTACAGGCTTCACCTAGCGGTAGTTTGGTTTTGAGCAGTGACAAGAAGACATTTACTTTTGGGGATAGAATTTTTACAATGTGCTCCAAAAGATCGCTTTTCACTAGTTCGTCATGTACCACTGAGCCACATCGCGTTACACATGCATCGATAGCCTGAAACGCTCAAGAGCCACTATTTTTCAGACGACATTTTTGAGAAACAGAGTGGAGGACATGAGACGCATAGATTAACAAATGCTAAAAAGCGATGAGCATTCAATTCCTAAGGCTTATTTAGGCGCTAGTTGATATTGTCCCCCTGGATTCACACAGTCAGTATGGTTACCTTTAGTGTGTTGAGAACTTCAGTTTGTGATGGAGAAAGGACTTTGTAGGCCAGGAGGCGAAAGGCGTTCTTTGGTCCATCAACCTCTTTGCAAATTCCTTTGCACAGCTGATCCACATATTTAACACGGTCAATTTCTGCTGTGAATGGATCAGTAGCTCGGGCTGCAAAAAAAACGGTTAATTTTTGTTGTTTTTGACTGCTGTCAAAACGATGAATTGTTTTCGAAAAAAAAAAGAACACTTATTGTTTTTTA